GCTTGGATGAAACTCCCTGGGCCTGTCCGCCATGCACATCTTAGGTATGGAAAAGTGGCAGGAAGACTTCCTCAGTCATCAGAGTCTGGAGCCAGGAGAAAGGTCCCGTCACCTGGACATATTTGGGAACCTTCGCCTGAGGTGGGTAACGCCAAGCATGGACCTCCTGGTGTCCATTTTCAACAATACACTAGACAGGTTTGTTCCCAAGATCAGGGATCCCGGGCCTTTTCTGTGGATGTCTTGGTCACTCCGTGAGTTCAGTTCTGCCTGATCTACGACTTCCCTCCTCTGAAACTCTTGCCTTGACTCTTTCACGGGATCAAGACAGAGGGCATTTTGGTAATCCTCAATTCTCACATAATTCACTTTAAGTGCACAAACACTTTATTTGTCCCAGGTCCTTCAGCGCAGCTCCTGCAAACTTCCTGTCACTTTTGCTCATTATAAGGTAATTGAGGAGCATCTTACCTTTTTAGATGTTTTGTTGCAGCAGGCAAAATGGCTGAATCCAGGTTTTTCAGAACACCTTCATCGTGATCTGTCCTTATTAAAGACTTAGGAATGAAATATTTGGTTTTTGTTTTCTCATAATATAACATGGGTACAAAAAATGAAAAAAAGGCCTCAGTCATGAAGGGGTTAACATACAATGCAAAAGCCAGCTTCATGCTATTTGGCCAGCTCAGTGCTAATTGGCCAGGAAGCTGGCTACCCACCCAATCAGCATTGAGCCACTGCACTGCATCTGAAAGCCCATTTTAAGCTAAAAAAACCGCACTGTAACTGGTAAAAAACGCGGCAAAAACGCACTGCACTGCGTTTGCAGATCTGCTCCAGATCTGGTCCGGACATGCTGTGAACAAGCCCTTAATGTTATAGACTTATTTCATTTTGTTTTTTCTAGCGGTTGCTAGGGGTTAATGCAAAGTATTTTGTTACTCACTTTATGCATAAAAATTATTTTGTGCACAACAGGAAGTTCTGTTAATAGCTTTTTTTTTTTTTTTACCGGTAGGCATTTCTGATTACATCTGAGTAGAATAGCCTGTTCCCTGCCAGCATGTTACAGACAAGTTGGAAGCAATGCTCTGTTTGCAGACCCCTACTGCAAAAGCTCTCCACCTGGAAGGGAGCATGAGTTTTGTGGATTGTAGCAATATAAAGTGGGCTTTAATCACTTCGGGACCAGAGCAGTTTTTTCATTTTTTAAACACGTTAAAATCTGATTTTATTTTCGGCTACAAAACGACTTAAAATGCCAAACAATTGTTTGGTTATGAAGCAGAGGCCCTGTAGAATTAAAAAAAAATGGTAGTTGCAATTTTTTATGTTGTATGATATTTGTGCAAATGGTAATCAAATAGTTATTTTCAGGAAAAAATACACTAAAATTAGTTTTAGTGAACATAAACACAATATAACAAATTATTTTTGGTATAGTATAAAAGACGGGGTTACGCCAAGTAAAAAGGTGCCAAAGATGTCAAGCCACAAAATTGTTCATAGACAAAGCTCCCGCTCGCCATCCTGAAGTCGTCCATTGTGGCCCTGGGCTCCCCGGAGCAGCAGGAGGTCTCTGAAACAATGGTGGGCATGGAAGTGGGGGGAAAGCACTTCTTCTCAGGTCCGTATAAGTGATCAAACGGCTTAGCCGTCTCGATCACTTGTACATGACAACCAGGAGGCAGTTGTTTAAAGTAATACCAAAATCTGTTCTTGTTATAACCACTTCGATTCCAGGACTTACAGCTACATCCTATGGTTCTTAAGTGGTTAAAGTGTATTTCCACTTTTGTAGCCAAATTGGGATAACATATATTTTATTTTTGTTACATGTCATTCATGAAGCTTAACTTTTAAAATATTTAAAAATGTTGCTTACTATTTTGTTTGTTCTTTTCTAAAAGACCCGAAAACAGGGTTTTCCATTATCTAATTTCAAGGAGGGTTTTTTGGGGGTGGGGGGTTGATGTTTACTATAATTAACCCTGTCTGAACTGTGCTGGCAGATCTCATTATCAGTTGTAAACTACATTAAAAACACTGTCCTAACAAAGGGTCAAAGATTGAGAAGCCTGGTTTTTGCACTGCATGTTAATGTAAATGTAAATTCTTCAGAGTAGCTTGCAGTCTGTTCAAAGGCCTGCTCCAAAGAAACATATTTTTTTATTTTTTTTTTCAGGTATGATGCGCTGCAAGGGCTAAGGGGTAGTTTTTGTCTAGGTGCTAAAAAAAAAAGTTATATGCACCCAAACCCCTGAGCTGGCCATGAGCACTTAACCTTTTGCAGTGCGGGGGTAGTCCCACTGCAAGGCTTGATATAGTGCCCGGAGTTCTTCTTTAAAGTGACACGAAGCTAAGGAGTTAAATCTTAAAAATGCATTCAAGTACCATAACTATTTACATAACTGTAGCTAGGGATGCACCGATACCACTTTTTTAAAGACCGAGTACCGATACTTTTGATCAAGTACTCACAGATACCAATTACCGATACTTTTTCTTAAAGGGACAGGTCACAATTTGTCTAAAGCAATACAAACTAATGCTTTAAGGTCACTTTCTTAATATTATGAGATGACGAGGGAGCATGACGCCGGCTTCCCGGCCAATCAGAATGCCGGGCGCTGCGTCATTACACAGCGCCCGGCTTCTGAATTTGCTAGCTTCCTGACCAATCGGGAAGCCGGGCAGCGCGTCATTGCACGCTACCCAGCTTCCTGATTGGCCGGGAAGTCGGCTCCATGCTCTCTCATCACAATTGACGAGAGAGCATGGAGCCGTTTCCTGGTCAATCAGGAAACCGGGCAGCGTGTAATGATGCGCTGCCCGGCTTCCTGACACATGAAGTACTCGTGCTAGGTATCGGAGCATTTGGCCGAGTACGAGTACTCACCCAAATACTCGGTATCGGCACCGATACTAGTATCGGTGCATCCCTAACTGTAGCCTATTTTAATTATCACTCGACTGTAGGTTCTCAAGTGATCTGTGACACTGTCCTTCCTTCTGGAGGGTAGCTACGTTTGTTCTCTATGGTCCCTGTGTGTGTTGTAAGCTCGATCCTGTGATGGACTATACACGTTTAGTTTTCTAATTTTGTATTGAGATTGTTCTTTATCATGGTATTGATTTAGGAGCAGTAGCTACTTTACAACACACACAGGGTCCATAGGGAACAAACTTACCCACTCTCCAGAAGGAAGGACAATGTCAGCAGAAATTCAGAGGTGATTTGAGGACCTACAGCTGAGTGATACACAAATAGGATACATTTTTGTTAATAAGTGAGGTACCTGAATGCATTTTTAAAATTTAAAGGAGAACTATGGGGTAACTGTTTTTCCACATAGTTCTCCTCAGGGTCACGAGAGGACATTAAACTAGCGTACTCCCGTGACCCAAAGCTCAGTATATCCCGAGCTACAGCTCGGTGTATACTGAGAAGCCGCAGCCGGGACGGATCCTGACATTACTGTCGAGATCCACCCAGCTGTGTAATTGACAGCTGGCTCTGCCTATCTAGAGGCAGAGTCAGCTGTACTCGCCCCCTCCCCCGTTCGTTCCTCCTGTCAGCGCTGGAGGATCGGGGAGGGGGGGATCCCTGCAGGGAGCCGTGAGTTCGCTCACTTCCCGATCTTTTGACCCGATGTGTGAAAGTTTAATTGTCACACGTCGGGTCGAACTATGAGGTTGAGTGAAAATCACTCACCTCAAAGTTCTCCTTTAACTCCGGAGTGTAGTGTCACTTTAATTTTAAAGCCATGTACATCATTTTACCGAACAATTTCAAGTATTACACAGCATGCTCCTTGTATAGATAAAGCATTTGTTACAGTCCTTTTTAGAGCTGCAACAACTAATCGATTTAGTCGATTAAAATTGACGATGGAAAATGTTGTCAACGTTTTCCATCATCGATTAGTCAGCCTGTTCGCGGCTCCACACACGATCTGAGCCACACACGCTGCACATGCCGCACAAGCTGTATTCTCTTATGTACCCGCTGTATAATGTATTATTGCTGGAATTTGTTGTTCCTCTATAGCTGGTGGTATTCTGCCGCCGTATAATATCAACTCTGAATTGGAGCGGACTGTCCTTCCTTCTGGAGGGGGGCTACTTTTTTCCCCATGGTCCCTGTGTGTGTTGTAAAGTGGTCACCGCTCCAAGCTTGCTCCCGTGATAGACTACAATCTCAATAAAAACTAGAATTCCATCACTGTAGCCATTTTTTTTCTTTTACTATTTATATCCGATTAATCGAACTTAATCGGCTAACTAATCGATTTTTGAAAATATTTCAAAAAGAACAAAAGTAGCCACCCTCCAGAAGGAAGGGACAGTGTCCGCACCAATTCAGAGATGATTTGAGGATCTACAGTCAGATGATTAAAGGAGTACTATGAGGTGAGTGCTTTTCACTCACCTCATAGTTCTAGCGGACCTGTGACAATGAGACTGTCACAGGTCGGCTCAGTTGATCGAGAAGTGAGCGAACACATACCGGTGTTCGCTCACCTCTCGATCCTGTCACAGCTCTCTGCCGTGACAGGGGAGGGGCTGGATTCCCCTCTCCCCGCTCGAGGAGAGGGGGCGGGTACAGCTGGCTCTGCCTCTAGATAGGCAGAGCCATCTGTCACTCACGCAGCTGGGCGGATCCAGACATAATTGTTGGCATCCGCTTCAGCTGCGGCGTTTCAGTATACCGCGAGCAGTAGCTCGCGGTATACTGTGGCGTCTCAGTATACTGCGAGCTGTAGCTCACGGTATACTGAGCTTAGGGTGACGGGAGGATGCTAGTTTGTGTCCTTTAAACTGCAGCATGTTTTACACCTAACTAGTAACAAACGGTTACCAAAATACAAGTATCCATGTAAGGTTCACAGTTAGTGTATGGTTTTCCCATTATAAACAATTCAAATAAAATAAAAGCAAGTATAACAGGTATGTTCCTCTTTCCTTTCTAATTAATATACCTTTCTTTTTTTCTATAGTTTATTGCCTGTCCCTTACAGTAAATCTGGTTGCATGCCTCGCTTGGTGGATTGCAGGAGGCTCTGGGGTGAATTTTGGATTGGCTTTGCTGTGGCTAGTCATGTTTAGTCCTTGTGGATATGTGTGTTGGTTTCGTCCAGCATACAAAGCTTTCAGGTAAGCCCTCTCTCTTTGGGCCCGTTCACACCAGATGCAGTGCATTCCGGCCCGATTCTGGTCAGAACGCACTGCCTCGCATTGCGGCCGGCTCACTTTTTTGTGGGGCACGAGGGGGCGTGGCAGGCCATTGAAGTGAATGGCACCGTAGCCACGCCCTCCAGCTACAATGCGATCGGCCGCACGGGATCGCAAAGCACATTATGCCTGCGGTCTGGTCCAATCAAAATGCTGCACGCACTATTTTGATCGGACCGGACCGCAGGCATAATGTGCTTTGCGATCCCGTGCGGCCGATCGCATTGCGGCTGGAGGGTGTGGCTATGGTGCCATTCACTTCAATGGCCTGCCACGCCCCCTCGTGCCCCACAAAAAAGTGAGCCGGCCGCAATGCGAGGCAGTGGGTTCTGGCCAGAATCAGGCCGGAACGCACTGTATCTGGTGTGAACGTGCCCTTTAACTTTTGGGAAATACTCAGTGGTGTAAGATACAATATTTTAGTATCAACTGATGCATGCTGTGTATTCATTACTAGCTAGTTGTTTGCTTTTGTTTATGAGAAAACTGATGTTTAACTTCACTAAAGCATTATTGCATGGATCAGGTGAATTTACTGCACCCATATTATTTTGTAAATTTTTTTAGGCATTTTGTGTTTAAAAATCAATTTACAAACCATGTTATCTTCCCTTAACCCTTTCGCTGCCAAGCCCTCCGGAACATTTTTCAAATCAGCTGGCCAAGCCATTTTTGAATTTTCTGCAATTTTTTCCTATTGATTTGATTTTCAACTGCTGCGTTGCTAGCGTTTGTAAAAGACCCCCCAAACCATATATTTTCTGAAAGCGCAGGCCCGGTAGAATAAAAAGATGGTGATACTAAATTTGTAGGCC